TAAAATTGGATTAGATTTTAGCAATGTGGAGATTTAGGACAGAAGATAACCCCTTACACCTTAACATCAGTTTTCATATTCTCCATATTGTTCCCTATACATTTTATAAGCTGCTGACAAGGTTAAGGAGAATTTGTGTCACAGTCAAGAGCTTCTTTAGTTGGTGATTATTTCCTTTATTCTCCTAACCTTAATGTTTGATTCAGGGGTGATAAACGACCGTCACTCTTAGGTGTAAAAGGGTTAACACAGTTTCAGTTCTGGAGGAAATTATAGTAACACAGTTGCAACTCTTCTAAATGTATGGTATTGTTGTACATGTTGTTATATTGCCCATGAGATGTCTTTCCTGGATGGAAATTTCATGCTGTATCCTCCAAATGTCAAAAAAGTGAAGTTCCTAATAAAAAATGTTTTTTGGGTTTTGTTTTGTTGTAGGCATCCTCACTTGATGTAATAAAATCTGCAGCAAGGAAGTTCATTGATTTTGTGAACAATGGTCCTTCGCCTTATCATGGTATGACTTATCCTTCCAGCTTCTTTAATTGATAATGTGCATGAAAAAATAAGGTGCTTCTGATTGGCTGTAAACAAGTGCATTATCATGTAACACAAGTGCAAAGTTGTAACACGAGTGCAAATTACATATAGCGCACACATGCGTTCAAAATTTTGTCTGCCTTAACTATCTGTGATGTTTTTTCATATCATGATTCTCTTGCAATTTGGTGTAATAAGCACTTGTAAATTTTTCACAGACTATAAACTGCACTTGCCTTACCAGCCCATGCAATTTTGTTGTCTTTGAAAAATTTACCCATGCATATTTATCACCAAATTGCACTCGAAATCATGTTTTTACCTGTATTAATTTTACAGTATATACAAAACTAGAGACTCTAGCCATTTCAGTATGAAACTCCTTACAATATCAAAACACCATTCAGTCCTAGGGTGAACAGCAATAACAACCTTAGAGACTAACATGACTCAGAGCTTGGGAAATGAGGGATTAGCTGAAAATTTAATCATTTAATGTTGTATGATATAGAATTATGGTAAAATCAAGCCATCAATTAAAGATCGTGATGTTATCAGTGTCATTCAGCTATTCTTTGTAAGGCAAGAAGTTGAGTGGTTAAATGTAGGTGTTGCATGACAGTGAGCTGCTATGATAAAAGGAGCAGCCTAGCTTGTATGCATCAATACCAGTAGACCCTCTCGCTGCATGAATTGAGATGCATTAGCAAACAGCTTCACCACCTGCTAAAGACAGCAGAATCACCACAGTTGCATGTCACATTCATTAACTGATTGAGCCTGACTCTTTATAAACTAAGTTGTTTTGACAGAAAAGCTTTTTTTTTTTTTGTTTCAGTTGTCAATGAGTGCAGAAAGGTGTTATCAGCAGCAGGATTTAAAGAGCTCAAGGAAAAAGAGCATTGGGATATCAAGCCTTCTGATAAGGTGAGAAATGATAGTTGGTGCTTTATATTTAACTTTTTGAAAGGTTACAGTTTGGACACGACTCAAAATCACACAATGGTTACCGGAAATAAAAATTCTGTTGTCTGGGAAATCATATGGTGCACTTAAAATTTGCCACA